GCTTCTAATTTTGCAGATGTATAAGAGCTAATCAATTTCACTTGTTGTTTAATATCATGTAACTATGTAAAGATCTGATGCCAAATCTCGGGATAAACTAATAAATAATGAAGAATATACGATGTGGTTCTTAACAAAAATCAAAGTTCACCTCATTCATGAAAAGATCATCCATCTTCTCATGGAATTTTTTTTTGTTTTCACCACTTGACTGCATCAAACTGTCCTCAGCACTTGCACCAGTACTGTTCAAATCCGATTTACTCGCTGACTGCTCCACCTAAAATATGACTTAAAACTCAAAAACAATGTTCCGTTAAAAAATGAAAATTCATTCTCCTTAGAAAAAGTCTAACTCGTCGTTTTCTGTCTCCAGCTGTTGTTTTTTTAATCTCAATCACATCATCATCATCGTCATCTACAACGTAATCAGATTCATCCAAATCATCTTCACTACTATTGGATTCCCAATTATCTCGTTTATTCTTTTTTGCTTTCGTACTCAATGAACTGCCACCTCGATCTGAAAATTTGCTATTAATTGAATTAACCATTAAGTTGGATGCTTCACCTAAATCCAAACATTACTTCTTCATGCTATTTGTACTGTCAAGTAGGAGGCTCTTCTTTCCACTGGCAGAAAACGTTGGGTAACTGTTTCTTTTCTGTTTAGCGCTTTGTCCATCAGTTTGGATCAGTAAAACTTCCAACGCTCTAGCATAAACGATATCAGCGCTATGACAATATCTAAATTCACCAGATTTAAAATGAAATTCAAATTTACCATTTTCTTTCCGCTGGCGTTTGGACTTCTCTTTCTTTTTGTCATCCTAAATATATCAAAATATATATATACATATATTTTCAAATGAGCCTTTATAGTAAATATAATAAATTCAATGAAAGAAGCAACCTCCTCATCGTTCTCATCCTTTACTTTTTTTGGCTCCTTTGGTACTCTTGGCTTCCTAATTTTTGGTTCATCGGTCTTCTTGCTTTCATATTTTTCTTTAATAGCATCTAGAGAAGGCTGGACCCGAATTCCGTTCGGATCAGGAAGCACCTCCTAAACAACCAGAAAATTATGCCCAATGAAGTAATATTAAGTCAAGGAAAAATTTAATTAAAAAATGTACTCAGTATCCTAATACAAAGATCTGTCTTATCAAACGACAATTTTGCTAACGGTTTTTTAAGCCTTTGAAACACACTTGTACAAGAACGCTCGCTTTCTTACGCCCTTTTGTGACTGCACCAGCAATTTTCTTAGCAGCATCTTTCACTTGCGTTTCTATATCAGCTTTTTCCTTGGCTTCCTGTAAAAGATACGAAAATTTGCCACAAGATTGCCATTCAAAACCACAAGGTTGCTATTCAAAATGAAAAAAAGAGAAAAGAATTATATCCACCCAACAAACCTGCTTTTCTAATTCAACCAAAAAATTATCCAAATCTTGTTCCCACAAATCAGACCAAGTCTTTGATTGTAGAGCCTAAAGAGAAAATAATTTCAATTAAACCAAACTTGACACGAACTTGAGAAATAAATTTCAAAAAATGGAAAAACAAAGAAACTGCAAAATATACTTTTAACTCCTCTAGCTTCAATTCACTATCGTGTAACAACTTGTCCTTTTCTTCTTCCGATAATTTTAGAATTGCCATACCCACTAAATAATCATAATCACTCAGTTTCTTCTCCAAATCCTTCTTCATTGGAGAAACAGGTGACTCTAATTCTTCCTTAAACAATAATACTAATCAAAATAGTGAATTGTAACCCTTTTTGACCAACGGTAACTAATTATGAGAACCACAGAATTGTACAGCAAAAAGTTATACAACGTTATATTAACTTCCTCCTTTACTTTAAAAAAATAGAGAGGGAAAGAGAGAGACCATAAAACACTCTCTGAACATGAGTACAGATAAATACAAATAGAAACAGAGATAGTTAATCTATTACTTATAATCTACCTATATTTAACAGTATACGTTCTGTACTATATATGTAAATTAAAAACTGAATATTTCAATAGAAAACAAACCTCTTCTTCACCTTCCATTTCTTCATCGTCGACTTGGACTTCGCCAGTCATTTCAAGTTCACGCTTTCTCTGTAATTCCTTCCACCGTTTCACTGGATCCGGATCGAAACCTTTTTTCACCAGCTGCTCCACTATTGCTGCCTTACGTTTATTCTCAATTAATATTTCACCTTTAATTTTCCCCAAGATGAAACGTGCCTGAAATGATAGCAAATGCCTAAAATATGCCTAAAATTAAGTCGCACACTTTAAAAAATTTTTCTCACCAGAAGAAAAATCATCAATAATTTAAAACTTCCATGACAAATTAGAATATACCTGATTGCTGAGTCGTTCGCTTTGAGCACGAAGCATTCCTTCCTGGAATGCTTTCCGTTCGATATATTTTTTTTTCCTTATCTCAAAAAATTCTTTGCAAATCTGTTCCACATTTGAGAATCTCCTCAGGCAACCCAAAGGATCAAACAGAACCTGCAGATATTTCATAATTATTTTAAAATAATGTCTAAATTTCCTTAAACTTCTTAGGAGAAAAAATGTTGCCACCGTCAGTTGAATGAAGTAAATGTGCATCATTAAGCCTAAATAGTTCAGGTCTCTTATTTCGAGTAACATATTTTAACATATGCAAAAATCAGTAAATTAAAAACTAAATGCCCCCACAGAACGCATGGTTTCAAACGATAAGAAATCCTTTAGGTGAGCCTCTAAGAATTAACATTTAATCATCTCTGTTTTATCTATTACATTACAGTTAAGTTGCAAACCATAGAGCTTATGTTTATTGCCGTCTGCAGCTTGAATACTTTATGCAATCCTTCCATTTCCGCCTCCCTCAGCTTCGCTGCATTCATTTTTATAACAAATTTAACAGTTGTGTCGGTGTGATATTCCTTGAAGTCTCTAAAAAGTTCCTAATTATAAGCAATAGTCAGTACCGAAAGATGAGAATATGCTTAAAAAATCACGAAAAGTATACTGTATTAGAGGAGGCTGTTTATCAGATCCTTCCAGCATGGGTTCTAAGACACTTTCTTTGTAGTGTTGCGTCCAAGTTCGTATTGGTAACTCAGTGATTTCGATTGTATCATTACTCAAAAAGGCTATTTCACCACTACAAATATATCGAGATTCATCTAATTTCTCGATAGTTCCACGGAAATTTTTGAACCATGGGATCTGGAAAGACAGTTTATGAAATGAAGAACAATGAGAAAAGCCAACACTTTCGTATATAGAAAACTCTTCATTCTACTATATTTAAGGTGAGCATATTCAGATCAAAGAGTAAACAGTATTAATAAATATGAGCACATCTTAACTATTATCTTTGAAAATTCAATAAAATCAAAAACATACCAGAGGTTTGGGTTCTTCGCCATGTATTAAACGCCGCATATTATCAACAATTTCACGCGGATTATAATTTGGTATTTTTGTTGACCAAGCGGTACCAATTCCTTCGGCTCCATTAACCAAAACTGTAGGTATGATTGGACAATACCTAAGAAATAACTGTTTTCAACAAAGAACTTGAGTTCATATTTAAATCATGCTTCATATTTAACAGCTCACCATTCAGGTTCAATTCGTTGATTTTCTTCAAACAGAAAGCGTAGAACATTTTCATCAACAGCGGGAAACAGCGCTCGGGTTACAGGACTGAATAAATATTTTATAACAATCAGGTTTAATCAACCGTCCCATAATTTAATCATCAATATCTCAATTTTATAATTCCAAGAAAATTTGAGTGAAGACGCTCGATAAATATGCGTTCATAAATATGCACACTTACTTGAGCTGTGTGAAAATATAACGTGGACTTGCACTATCCTTTCCACCCTGTAAACGTGTGCCGAACTGACCGATTGGTAACAACAAATTGATATTATTTGAACCAACATAATCTTGTGCCAGGTTTACGATTGTTGACATAAGTGAGGCCTAAAAACTTCGAAGTCAGATTAATTCGGAATCAATGAAAATTTTTCCGCAATACAAACAATAGCGAATAAAATTTAGAAATTTATCAAGTACCTCGCCGTGATGATAAGCAGACATTTCTCCAACTGCACCAGCAAGCTGAGCTACTTTCACTTCTTTTTTATCTGCTCGTTTAAAGCAAGTGAATAAAACCTAAAAAACTAGATAAAACTGGAAAATAATGAATGAAGGAATTAAAAATAAAACTGAAAAAAAATCTCACATCAAAATCAATTTCATACATCTGGTAGCACTATTGGAGCTTAAAAGAAATCCACATAGCGCACATTATAGGAAAGCTCAAATATAGGATATATCTATTACATACGTAGGACTTAAATTACGGAAGAAATAATTGGACATTAATAAGCTTGATGACTACACAACCAACCTTACGCTGTCCAGGCTTTAGCCCATCAACCAAACTTGGTATAGATCTTTCATTATCAGCATTTGAAAACAACACCAGTTCTTTATTGACAAAATCTTTAAATGAAACAGCACGAGTATCTTTATCATACAGATACTCCTCCGTTAATCCTTGCTCACGTCTTGCTTTTTTCTCCTGAAAAAAATGGCGAAGAGGAATGCACTACTGTAGGCAGAGAAATATAAGTTATAAAAGCAGCTGTAACACAATTACAGACTGAACAATGCGCTTTGATGTGACGTAAATGAAACATTTACTATTTTTTGATTAAAGTGGCTTCTGTATAGATCCGACATAAGACAAAGGTTCACTGTGGGTATAATATACTTACAGCCATCCAATTCGTCAACCATACTTTTCGATCTTCAATTTTCTTTTTACTAAATGCCATATCCAAAGAGTTGTCATCTTCCTCTCCCGAATATTGAAATCTAATACGATGGCGTACCATATCAGTGAAATATTCTTTGGCTTCCTTTGACGTCGAAGTACCCAAACCTAAACGATTAATATGTATAACTGCTGCTGTATCATATCGAATTACAAATTTCCAGAAAGAGTGCAACCTTTGTAATATTTTATGCGGTATGTCTTCCAATTCTCAGTGTTATTTCGCCATTCAGCATATTCCGGAAGCGAGAAGAAAGAAAACGATTCTTTACCCTTTGTGGCCTAAAAACAATGAAATTGTACATAACTATAAATAATTGCCCAAGAAGGGCCAAACCGTTAACTATACATGAAGCATTCACTTTCTTAAAAAATCTAAAACATTTTTAGTTAAATATAACTTCAAATACATTGAAAAACAAATCAAAAAATTTCGAATGAGCTCGTATAAAATACAACCTAAGCACACCCACAGCCTAATTCTCTTCTATTACTCTGTATAACAATTCTTTTTTACCAATTTTAAAGCTACGGTTGCTTCAATAGCTCTAAAACAGCGAACAAATCAAATGGATCTATACTTACTTTAACAATTGGTGTTATAAATTCTTCAACGAAGTTACGACGAATTAATATTGGCCAATTATAATGAATAAAATTAATCACAAGGCCCTTGATATGCGAACCATCCTGGTCCTGCAGTAGAATATATTTACAAGAAAAATGAAAAATGAATTTTTTTTCAACAAAGTGAATAAGCAAATTAATTTCGAATTCTCATGTAGTAATAAGCTACCTGATCAGCCATAACCATTATTTTTCCATAACGAAGCGTTTTCATATCATCATCTTTATCATATTTCAAACGATACTGCAGACCGATAATTTTAATTAGAGCATTTATTTCTGCATTTTCCATAATCTAAAATTGATTAAATCGAAAATTGAACTAAAAAAACCCTTCAAAAGTTTCAACGGTCATTAGTATTAGCAAATGTATCGATAACATAACATCCTTCTAATCATACAAACAAATTTAAAGTAATTCTCACTTCCTATTCGAATTAATTGTAGGACAGGTTTTAAAATGATGAACATTTTCCTCATACTTAATGATCATATACTCTATGCGTTAGCTGTTCTGGCTTTTTACGAAAGAAAAAAGAAAAAGGAGAATAAACAGCAAGATAGAAATAATACCTGTTTATGACTGCCTTCACGAACATTTAGCATTTTGCCGCGTAGTGGAAAGACGCCATAATGGTCACGACCAACGACACCTAATCCCGAAACAGCGAGAGATTTAGCCGAATCTCCTTCAGTAAGTATCAGCGTGCACACGGAAGAATTTTTGGTCCCAGCGTCATTTGCATCCTCTAGTTTCGGTATGCCCTGTTTGATACATTATATAGATACAACAGAATAAAAGTTTATTATAAAGGTAAATAATTCAAAACTAAGTTTCAAATATATTGACGACAAAGCCAGCTAACCAAACCTTCAGTTTACTGGTTTTCTTGCTTGAACATTTCTTGTCTAATGTTTCTTGCTGTTTAAAGCGGACCCATGCCAAGACAGCTTCAACAATTCCGCATTTCATTGCTCCATTAATGAACCTTTCAGATAATTCACATTTGCTGCCAAAACTTTTTGCTTGTAAGGTCATTGTCTCCTTCGTTTGCGAGTCAAATGTTGGATTCTCAATAAGCGAATTCACAAAGACCCACATATGACTTTTAACCTGGAATGAAATAACTATAATTCACGTTTAAAACTATGCAGAAGCAATTTTTAATAGAAATTCTTCCTATTCAAAAGCATATGTAGCAAAGTAATGAAATAGGATAACCATATACACAGGTGCTATCAAAAGTTAAGCAAATCTATTGGGAAAAAAGCCATAAATATACAAAATTTTATCTGTAAATATAAAAAAATATTACTTGAAACGGTTTAACATTTACTCCACTCTTTCCTACTTTCTTTTTGATAATGTCTATCAGCTTCGCTGTGATTTGATCGGCAACATAGTCAACATGGCGACCACCCTGAATCGAGAGAATTGGATTTTCATTTTTTTTTAATCAGAATTAACAGGAACATTTGCTATATGTATTCAGATCTTGAACATTACGATGGATATTTTTTCAGTGCTCATTTTATTTAAATTATTAACTCACAGTATGGCCTTCGTCCGAAATTGCAATTTTTTTCACTTTAATTTTTACCATTAGAAAACTAAAGACAAGAGAAACCATAAACTCACCATATTACAATTTAAAAAATGCATGAAAACACAAAAATGACTAAAATAGAAAAAAATCCCAACAGTATAACCTTTGTAGTAGCGATGGAATTGACAAAAGAAACTTGTTGAAATCCTTTTTCGGAAACTGTTAAGGCTACTTCCCATCTTTCATTAACCTGTTCGTAAACAACTTTATATGGTTCCCCGTCACTGTCAAGATTATGTTTTGCGTACTGGTCGACATATTGTTTAAAGCCTTGAACCTGAAAAAAAATAAAAAAACATAAAGTAGGCGCTGCTGCAATTATCAGGAAGAAACTTTAATAGGATTCCTGCTCAGTATAAGTGAAATTAAAAATCCATGCAAACTTCAAAGTTAAAAAATCATTTTTACCGGTAGTAATTTGCCATCCAAGTATACTTTGACACCTTTCGTTGAACCAGCGATATCATATGCCCGGCGCGATATCAGCGAAATAATGTCGTCATCCAGTTCGGTCATTTTGAATTTTTTAAGGTCCGGTTTAAACGTTACACGTGTAAAATCTTCACCACTTGATTTACCCACGAATGGGTCATTGTCTTTTGTCATATTATTCTTCCAAGTCTTAAAAATTACAACAGAGTTCAGTCAAAATCAAGATCAATTTATCTAAAAGAAAGATTGAAATGTTACGTCATAGACCTACTTGCTTGAAAACTTTTCCATATTCTTTGGAGGATGTCTCAACTGTAAATTCTGTGCTGAATATGTTGCATAGTTTAGCACCATATCCGTTTCGGCCACCTGAAAATCTCTACAACACTGTCCAAAATAAAAAAATGAATCAAAACTTATGCAAAAGGTTATGATTAGTGAGATGCTTTGAAAACAGATAAACAATGTACCAAAGAGATCACATGAATTGTTTTACAATTTACTATTTTCAACATAAAAAAACACCATAACTGGATAAGGCTTGATGAATCTTTAACTCAACATCCAAAAGGGAAGAAGTATATAATTAAATTATTCAGTTGAAGGAATATCTGCTTGGAGTAAAGTGCCTATAAGAGATTTATACCTGTCACTTTTCGTTCGCTATCGTCATAATTTGAGGAGGTAAGCAGTGTACCAAATATGAGTTCAGGGACATACAACTGTTCCACCTTGTGTAGTACGACAGGAATACCTTTGCCATTATTAAACACACTAATCTCGTTCTTTTCTCTGTAAAATTAAAAGTTTAATTTATTTGTCTACCTTTATTCATCAAGAAAGACACTAATAACCTCAGTTTTTTAAAATCTCGGTGACATTAGATCATTGAAAAGCTAACAAACAGTAAAGTGTAACAGTTTGATTAAAAATCGAGGTTTGGTTTTCAAGGTATGAAAGTTTTTCTAAAGGTTCATGTGTAATAATGTCCGGTATGCAATCAAGCTACCAAATTGACACATTTATACTAAATAGCAATTATGTTAATTCTGCCGAATAACGATTCGTACTCATTTTAAAATCCACATTATCAATAAAACCAATATCAGACGAGAATTACTAAAAATTAGTAAATGAATCAAAATCAAACTTATTAATGCTAATTTTGATAAGATTCATTTTCGGATCACGTTGTTTATTGTCTGCAGCGTTCACCAGAATCTCGTCAAATATTTTGTACAATCCAGGAACATATGAAATGTCACGCTGAGCGATTCGTTCTCCTTCCATATCATATACCCACAATGGCTAAAATTAACTAAATATGAAAGCGAAAAAAAACGACTCAAAAAAATTTAAGACACAAAAATAGTGAAGTGTTATCCTTTGGCGCTAGTCAACACCATTGACGGTGATGGAGCAGAAGATGAATACAACACTGCTAAATTTGGATGTACCAAGCCACTATCGAAAAGGACTATCCTTCCCTCCTTTATTAATTATTAACGAGATATACCGCCTTATCAGTGCGCTCCACGGAACCAATATATGTATCTGGACGTAGCAAAATATGTTCCAGTTGACTCTTTTTCTGGTAGATTTTTTCAATATTTAGCCGTTTGGGGTGCTGATCGATATTTGTAAAGATATCCAATGGATCACCATTGTCACTTTTATCACCATTCATAACTATAACAAAGAAGCTGTATAAAACATTTCCGTTTGTTTGAAGAAAAGTTAATTATGATGCCCCTAATTATGATATACGCTAATTAATACGCTAATTAATGATATACACTCTAATTAATGGTATAAACCGAAAGAAATACTCTACGGCTAACCCGAATTGCCATTTGTTTCCTTTTTCGATGCTTGCTTCTTAAGTGGTGGCTTATCCCTTCTCTCGACTTGCTTTTTGGGTGCTTTCTTCTGCGGAGATGAAGTAAACTGAAAATGAATCTACTCTTCTATAATGTATAAATTCAATATATAGTTCATTTAGAAAAGATTTTTTTTACTTTCTATCAATATCACTTGAAATTTTAAAAGATATTACTACAATATTATGTGCTTGTCTTCTGACTGCCTATGCAATACCAAAGTATTTAAAGACAGTTACAAAGAACTTAAACAAGGACTTCAGCAAAAATAATCTTTAATTGCTCAATTTTTAAATGATAAATTCTAAAAAGCTGTAAGAACGACATACCGAAGGATCATAGTCAGATTCTTCGTCGCTACGCATTATCAACCAATAAAATGATGTATCAAATCCGAAATTACAGCTTAAATCAAGTTAGCTCTTAAATAATTGCCCTGAAATAGAACACAAATCGCAAATTTATTAACTAATCCAGCAACATCCATTATCATACCAAGAACTCGCATGTATTCCATTGTCAATTGTCACTCAGATTGGCAACACTAAGACTTACATAACACTAAACGAAATGAATGACTTAGAGTAGAATATTACTTGAGGAAAATTTCTGACACAACGTTTCCTTTTGTTATTATTATGCAAATATCTCGGCTTTTTAATTGTGATATCTATTGAGAAATAACTAGAAAGGTATGCAACAGATAAGATAATAACAGAAGTTAAGAAATGGTATATCTAAAGCAATTACTGGAAAGAAACAAGTAACTAGACAACTACATTACTATAAACAGAATTAACATTTTATGACAAGTAATTCTTTTATTTTCTATTTCTTTTTTTCTTACACTTATTACTAATCTAGGCATTAATATATCACTTAGCACGAGGAGAAAGAAGACAAGGTAGAACAAATTCACAGAGGATTAATTTCTTGCTATAGAAATTTGTACAGGTCATATTCAGACAAAAAAACTTCATCAGACGGTGCTCTTGTGAACTCACCTGCCCACCACAGTCCAGCAAAATATCCGAGTACCTACATCAAGTGTCAGTAGTGTCAGTGGTGTCAGTGGCGGTCAATCATCTTTTCTCCTATGTTATTTTGATTTGCTTAAAATGCAAAATTCTTATCTCCGTTTGCTATATTTTGGTTTTTCTCTTTGCAATTTTATTCGATAGTTTTAAGATCTTAAGACACATTAAGTTATGTATTCTTTTTTTGAAGCTTATCCTTTTAAATATTTAATTTTAAAGTTTTGTTTTACATTCATTTATTCAATCACTCCAATAGATTCGGACATCGAATAAAATTTAAATAATACAACAAAGAGAGAGAGAGACAGAGACGAAGCGAGAGTCATAAGTAACGTATTATTTCTGGGCAGTTAGACGATAAAATACCTCTTCATCTATATGAATTAAATATTGATTTAGCTTCCATTGACATTGCAAATTGTCACATCATTGTCGCATCACTATACAACATAACACATCTTATTTATCGATTAATGAAAGGAAGAAGCAAACATTTGACCGAATAAAAGTTTAATGAAATAATGAAAATTTGAAAAAAGCTATTATAATGGAATTTACTTGTTCACTGTTATAAATTGATTGTAGGCAGATGATCGGATAATTTACCTGTAACAATATTTCATTTTAAATTTAACTAATTTAATTCATTATAAAAAGGTAAATGGAATCAATTAATGCAGATGATTTACCTGTAACAATATTTTCATTTAAATTTTAACCAATTCAATTCATTATAAAAAGGTAAATGGAATCAATCAATTGGTAGGAATTTAAAATAAGAGCAAATAAAAAAAAGTTTGATTAATTTGGAAAATTTTCCAATAATCTTTACTAATTCTAAAGTCTTAATTAATTGCTATCCTAATTATAAGGAATCTAAATGTCTTTTTTGTTTCCTTGAAAAGTGAGAGTTTCATATTTATTTTGCTACTGAATGTAACATGTTACCTCTGTCAACACTACATTACATTTCCTATATCAATATCTCGATGAGTCAGGGAATATCACCTAATTCAAGAAAAATTCATCCTCCGTATTATCAGCCGATATTTTCAATGTCTAATGTAAAAGTTTCACATTAGACATTGAAAATATCGGTTTCACAAAAAGTGTAAGAATTATAAAGCAAATAAAATCACCAAGATTTCAAGAAGATAACATAAAGAATCCATCCAATGGCTTTGATAGAGAATTGTTATCATAGGAAAATGATTCTTCACATATACCTTAAAAATAGAAGTTTCAGAAGATTAATTAAAACCTATTCAATATTCATCTAAATTATTGATTGACAAGGAGATTGATAAATTGATAAAATAAACTGACAGTTAATGTTTACTAATTCAACTGACAATAGAGGAAATGATTTCTTAAAGAATTTAACTAATAAATTGATAAAAGAAACTGATAATTAATGTTTACTAATTCAACTGACAATAGAGGAAATGATTTCTTAAAGAATTTATTTATCAGTTCATATAAATTTCTGTTAAATCAGAAATTATTGATTTTTTAGTAACAAACAGATAATATATGGAAATTTCAATTTAATCGTTGCATAAGAAATTAAAATACGCTCAAACCGTTTATTTAAAAATGATGAAAATTTGAAGTGCTCGAAGATGACAAAATTTCCAATATCTTTTTTCCGATAACAAATATTCGATAATATTTACTAACAAAAAAATAAATTATCTACAATTCAATATCATTTGTATGAATTAAGGAAATTCGTGAATTTCATTATAATTCATTTTCATTTTAAAATTTGCTTCATCAAATCTGGAAAAATTCAAAAAGGATTCATTACAAAATATCATATGACTTTCTTAGTTGATAATAATAAATTTTGATAACAGATGATAAATTTTATTAATAATTGCTATTGATATTAAAGAGTAAATAGTAGCAATGATAAGTCATTAATTATGCAACAAATGCAATTAATCGAAGACTGATATTCCGGCAAACTGGTGGTATCATATTCCATTTTCAAACAAATAAATATGTATTTGACGAATGAAGTTACTTATAATATCATCAAATTGTGCACTTTAACCTTCGTGTATGCTATACGAAAGTGAATCGAATTATATTGAATAAAGTACCATTCAACAAAACATAAATTAATCAAAATCATTTCATACTAATACTACTAACTGATTGCATTAACTTTAATGTTTAAAATCTTTTGTTTTAAATTCATCCCTTTAAACTCCTGTAAAATAATTAACCTAAAATAAAATTTAAAAATGAACTTATCATATATAATTATTTAAAATTTCATATATATATTCAATAGGTCATTAAAGAAAAATTCAATAGCTTATCTTTTATTTCAATTGCAATACATATTTTTAAATAAGTAAAATAGAATTGAAAATGGAATGTTTTATCTTTGAATAAGATGAGATAAATGAATATGCAAATGATTAATGTCTTGCAGAAAACCTTCCGAAGTTCAAAACTTGTCTAGATGTAAATTAAATTTGCATTTAGTATTACTCTTTTAAAAAATTCACCAAAGCTTCAATTTGGTATTTTCATCTGCACTTTTGCAGAAAAAAGAAACACCGTTAAATTTCTCTATCTGATATATATATATATATATAGTTGCTGAAGTATTATAGCCGATATTACTATTGCTAATATCTTTTAAATTAGTAAAATTTATAATACAATAAGTTTATATGATTATACTTACACTCTGAATCTTTCTTATTGAATTTGAATTTCAATTGACGATGTAAGAAATTGTTTGGAATAATTTTTTTCCACTGTTTTTCTTTCCATTATCATCATTATTCTTTTTACTACCTGAATGATTATCAATCAATTTAATTATAAAACCTTTTAGCAGTATCGTTGATTAAGAATAAAATTATAATTATTGTTATTAAGTATTGCTACACTTCATAATTACTTGAATTACTTTTTAAATGAATGAAAGAAGGTAAATCTGATATTGTACTTGAATAATAACTTTATTACATTTAAATAATTGAGAAAATATTGATGTGGCACTATTGTCAGTACTCGTTATTTACTATGTTTGTTAGAAGTAGTTTAAATATCCGAGATGTGGCGCTATTGTCAGTACTTCGTTATTTCCTATGATCGCATATATATGTTATCAGTAAATATATATATTTATTTACTGTTTATAATAATATATTCTTTCCGATGAATCTCTCAATTATAATTTTTATGCAAATATTTCACATCAAAAATTAATCGAATCTCTTTTTTTTTGTTCATTCAAAATTTATTTCAATTAATTATGAATTAATTTTTTTTGTTTGTAATAATTCGAAATAAGATTATGATAAAGAAGATCAAAGAGAAAAAGAGAAGAATATAGATTCATTTGAAATAAGTTTCTCTAAGTCTCGTTAATTGACAAACAGCTACCACCTATGAAGCTATATATGGAATGAGCCGCCTTGTTAATTCTTCTTTTCTTTCTAATATTCAAAATGCAACGAAACAATGCAACCTTTTATATTTGTCGTTTCTTTTTTTCAACCTACCCCGCATTTTCTTCAGTTACTCTCAGAGATTAATTAATTCTTTTTCATTGCTATTATTTTCATTAGATTGATAATAGTCGTGCATGTGTTAAATGTATTCGGAACTTAGCCTAAGTATGATAATAATGATAATAGCAATATTAATAATAATAATAATAATAATAATAATAATAATAATAATAACAATAATAATATTAATATTAATAATAATAATAATAATAATAATAATAAATAAATAATAATAAATAATAATAATAATGTGTTAGTAATCGGCAAGATATTAAAAGAAAACATTCATTATCAACGTCTTTGGCATAATGTAATCTTAACGCCAAAGCTTCAAACTCCTCAATTGATAAATTTGCTTTTATGTATTTTGATGGTTTTTTTGCTTTTAAAAATTCAAACACTTAAATGGAGTTACGCTCTGATTAACCCATTTACTTTAGTTTTAGGCTTTATACGTATACATATATATGGATATGGATATGGATACCGGATATCCATTAGAACGGTGCTTGCATGAAAAAAGTTTAAAAAGCCTTTTCACGGCATGTCTAACTTCTAAATCCAATCATTTCCATGCTTTTTTCCCAACTGTTTTTTCATATTTTGTATTGTCTATTATTTTCTTGATCTTCTCTTCTACAATATTTTTTCAAATATATTTACTTCAATTATAATTTATAAAAAAAAGGCCTTTAAAAAAATGTTTAGGTTATTAAAAGAAAGATATGGGAAATATTTCGAACATTCATTAGATGCATTAGACGAATCGAGGAGGAATTTAAATTCGTATTAGATGGCTTATTTTTGATCATATCAGTTTATCAATTTCTATTCTCTATTAATATTTGAATAATATTAATTATTATAATTTATTATTCAATTCCTATTTTCGATTCTATCAAAAGATTTTCTTCATTGAATAATCGAATTAGCGGTTTTATTTGATGTAAATTAGAATAACATTTTTTAGATAACAATAGAGAAATAACTTTTGTAATTAATTTTATAGCAAATTATAATTGTCATATCAAATAAGAATTTAAAAGAATCTTACTTTCTGAATGAAAAATTTTCTTATGTTTTAAATTAATGAAATTTTTTTTTAATTATTTAAAAGATTCTAAACAATGAAATTCAGGAAAATTTCGGTCAGTTTCTATCAGGAAATTCTTTTACAACTTACCGCATAATATAACCAAACGATGATGTGATTCAAAAAATTTTTTTTAACAAATTCAATACATGATAAATTAGCTACACATTGAAAATATCATACATATCTGTCTCATTGAAGGAATCGATACCTCAGCTAAATGTGTATTACATGCAGTATTGTTATTCTTTCCCGATATCATCCATATATAATATATATATATATATATATATATATTGTATATATGGATGGTTTGTTGAATTTCTACATCATTTGTCTCATTTTTTCAAACATGATCGCAAGTAACATCAGTCCTCCTGAAATGATATTCTCAGTGAATGAAATAAGCATAGAATTCAACATTTTTTCATTATTCCCCCAAAACTAAAATATTCAACAATTTGCTTATTTAGAATCTATTTCATTGAATTTTTGATAATTTATAATTTCCATATAATTTTGTTATTTAAAAAGGATATTAAAATTGTATGAGAATTATTATAAATCAAATGTTGCAAATCATATCATATCATATCATTGTTAGTAGATAAAACTTATAGAAGATGATCAAAAATTACATCACTAGAAAAATTGCTCGAATTAGAAAAGTGTGCAGTTAATCATTGAGGGATAGTTTTGGAATTTAAAAGTAATTAGTTGAAACATTTTTGGAAAGAAAATAAAAAAGGAAGAGAGAGAGAGAGAGAGAGAGAGAAATATTTTAGCAATAGATTATTTCATAAAAATTTAAAAGATAAATTTCATTGAAATCATAATATCATTTTTACAAATTGTTCGCAATGAATTTCATTTATAATCTCTTTGTATTAAGATGCTTTGATAAATTTTTCACATATCATTGATATTATTCATTTTAGATATCATCACGTCAATAAGATATTGCGATAACGTATGAGCAATTCATTGATATCATTCATTTTCGAGCATTTTAGATATTACCACGTCAATAAGATATTGCAATAACGTATGAGGAATTTGTCGTTTCTCTTTTTGCTCTCATTTTCACAATTCAATTCAAATAAATTTATATGAACTTCAAATAAACAAATGAAAATTATTAGAATTGCCGATGAGATTCTAATAGAGTTTTATTCAAATTTGAATAGAAGAATATTAAGGGATATTTTAGGTTTACCTGGATAGAAATCATTCACTAATTTTCGCTAATGACTAATTATTTTCTTGCTAATATATTTCATTCCTTCAAATCTTTTTTCTTATAATTATTTGTATCTAAACAAAAAAAGAAAAGAAGTAAATATATCGATCAATTAAAATATTATATTCAACAAGGTGTAATTGATAGGTAAAATATTATATCCAACAAGATAGATAAAATTTATTGATACCTGTTAACAATCTTAACTTTAAATTTGATTAAAATTTCATTGCTAACTGCTAACAATCTTAAACAACTCAAAATTCCATTTTCTATAAGCGACAATCATATTATTTATGATCGAAAAACAATTATCATTTTTTTTGTTTATGTTTATTTATTTATATGTTTGTCTGTTTACTTATGTTTGATCTATTTGTTTATTTATGTTTGATCTCTTTGTTTATTTGTTCTGTTTATTTTGTCTATTTGTTTGTTTTTAACTTTTCTTATATTTACTTCGTGGAAATGTATGTTTTTTTATTTGTTTGAAATTTCGGAGAACAAATATCGATGTAAAGTTCGATCGTAAATGCTTGCAATTTGTAGTGCAATATAAGATTGATATAAACTTTTTTTATGTTGTGTAATATTCAAGAGACGTATGGATGATGCTGTCACCTATTTATGCTTTATCAACTTTAACCACAGCTCATCTTTTATTCATTCAAGTGACAGCTGAGCATAAAGGTTATTCATTCATCCAAAAATTTCTCAATTTTAAAATTATCAATTAAAATTCCATGAGGTCATAAGGTTAACCAAGTAATTCTCCTGCTACCAGAATTTCATCCATTTATCATTTCTTGCAATTAGCAAAAGATAACAATTTGTAGTTTGATTTGGAGGAAAATAAAAACCTGAAAAGGTATGGTAGTGGGCCATGATAGCTCAGTCGGGAGAGCGTTAGACTGAAGATCTAAAGGTCGCCGGTTCGATCCCGGCTCGTGGCATCTTTTTCTCTCCTGCATTAGATAAATTTTGTTTCTCATTGGTTTGCTACTCTCATGCAAATGTCTGTCCCAGCTGGTAAATTTGACCAAAATTTCATCAAATCATTAGTAAGCGCTTTTAGAATAGTTTGTTTGATAACTATTGCTGACTAAGTGCTTCCATCATGATAACGGGAAAAATTTCTCCCAGATATTTTTATTATCGAGGTGCGATAGAGCATTTGGTAGCACCACGAATGAGTTAATCAACCAATCATCTTCACTTATTCACGAGATGAGTTAATCAATATTTAATATTCCAATTTTTTGATTACAAATATCAGTACTTTCAGAGAGTTCATCGAATTCAAAACGGAAATGTTACCAATGCAATATGCCATATGAATGCAATTTGGGATTATGCTACGGTGATTACTGCATTAAATCAATTGGTGAGAGATGATTTCTCGAATGATTTCATTTCAAATTTAAAATTTATTCAAATGTTTTGCAACATTTGATGTAAATATTATTCGTATTATTCGCTTTCAGCAAGTGACCAATATGTCAGCAAAGGATGTGAAAATAAAACATTCAGGTGGGATTTATTATTTACGGTTGTGTAGGCTACCTGTTAATGTCATGGGTCTTAATATCATCTAGAAACAATCACAGATCTAAAAATCACTGGAACTGTTTTGAGAAAATATACCAAGTTTTCTTTTAAGTCTGTTGAACTCTATTGAAATTTGCTAATTCTATTAGTATGACGATCTTCTAACAAATGTGACACTAATCTTGAAGAAATTGAATTTTAAAGACAAGGGGCATATTTTTACTTTTCGTAACATTGTATTTCTATTAATTTGAGCTTTGTTCAAATTTCAGATTGATAAACGGTAAATCATATATGCAGGAAAATTCGGAACTCGTAGAAAATCCATATTGTACCACGGAATATATGTTCGGAATCCAGAATATTATTTGCTACTGTAATGATGTTGATTTTTGCAATAGAAGCCAAAAAAGTAAGGATAGAATTGTTACGATATCACTCTTTCTTTTTCTAGTGCTACTTATTTTCATTTTTTAACTTGCTGCCTTTTTTTCTGCAAAAAATTATCAAATTCTTCAACTAATTTAAGTAATTTAAGAAATTTTTTGAATTGGAGTTCAAAATGTGTTTTGAATAAGTGCGGAAAATACGACAATAATTTGTCTTACTTTCCGCACTTATTTTACCACCTCATATATACTTTTATTTGAAAGTTATTCCTTTTTAAACCCTATTTTAAAAAAGCGTTATTGAAGTATCATCTTAAAATTTCGCTGTAATGTATTATCATCAAAACTAAGTGATATACAGCACAATGTACCATTGATATACCCGTGACATACGTGAATAATAAAGTAGTAAATTGTTTTAGCTGACGTACTGAAATTCATATTAACTTATAAGTTATTGGAATGAACGTTACTGTAGTCACAAACTATGTTGCAATTTATCTAGATTGATAAGAAGTATTGAAAGAGATGCATTAATCACTTATTCTCCGCCTGATCATTCCCATAACAACTTTATTCTTTTTTTTTATCAACTTGTTTTTATTTTCGTTATTTTTATTAAAACAGAACATTGTCAATAACGATGACACGTATATTTATGTATTAAAATAGTGAATGAAATTTGATAACTTATGAGCATTTCAGGTATATGTAAACGAAAACATATAGTGGAATGTATGCTACAATGAGTTTTTTGATGAGTAATGTAAAAACAATTAAGAAAATGAAAAATAACTGCAATTCAAACTATAGAAGATTCCATGAGTTGTGTTTAAATTTTTAATTTATTCATATCATCCCCAATTAACTTTTAAACAATCGATGCCACATACAAATTGGTAAGCCAGTCTTTCGTATCATTTGTATCCAATGAGCACATCCAGCTCCTGGACACATTGGACCAATCACGCAATGTCCAATTGAAATCGGTCCACGATTACAATCAGCCGGATCAGTATCAAACATCTGCAATGGTTTCACATTATTTTCACTTAATTCAATCAAAATTTTTTTCTTTTTTATAAATCTATGATCTTATCGATTTAATTATTCGCTCATATCTGGTAATAATATACGTAACGATTTAAGGGATTGCATTGCGAATTCTAAGCAAACAACGTACAATCTGTCTTATCAATAATTGGACTATTATAATATGAGAGATGAAAGTTTGATTGAATAAAATGAATTTCGGGAAAATAAATTAATTTACAATAAGCATTAAAAGATCAAGTAGTGAATAATAAGCATAAACTATGATGGCATTTCTTTTACAATCAACTTTTTGACTTCAAATTCATCCGTTTTTTTAAATTAGAAAACAATAAAGGAATCGAAGAATAACACACTTCGATGACAATATGACACCTATTAAGCATTTGTGGTGTGACATGAAACAAGAAGGACTCGGAAAAGATGGCATCCGTTGGTCGTATTATAAGTGTTGTGTTGGAACAACCAGCTGAGGAAGAAGATGATGGAGGACTTGGTGTAGGTGGCTCTTGTCTTCTACTGAAACAAAAATTTGATCTGATCAACAGTGCATAAAGTAATGATAATTTTGTTAATTAGCAGTTGAAATTACACCTTTTTAAAATTGAATTTTATAAAAAAATTAAATTATATTCCTGTAAATTGAAATTATGTTACTAACAGGTTATCACATCGTAACATAACATAAAGTGTTGTAGATATATTAGATGAAATTATCGACCAATATATCTCGGTCGATCGATAAGTACATGTGAGATCATTTGCGATATGTGTATGTAAGATTCTCAGTTATTTTCAATCAGAATTCTAACAATTAAAGTTTAAATATACTTTGGAATTGCATTTCTGAAACCTTGCACTGATAAAGTTGAACTGATAAATGTTTCCTACCAATCAACAACATTGAGACATCTATTACAAACAGATGTTGGTGTCACCGTTGTTTGTTTTTGCTCCAACAGACGGCGCTTGTCGAACAACATTACCCGAGCAAATGGTTCTAAAGTAAAATTCATTTATTAGCATTTTAAAAAGCTAACCTGAAATTTAAAATTTAAGAAGTATCAACTTTAAAATTTAAGAAGTATTTAAAATTTAAAAAAATTTAAGAAGTAATACGTAAACAAGACTTACTATTATTAAAAGGTAATAACTTGGCCTTTTTGACGGTGGCTGTTACGAACTGCACATTTGGTGCATATGTTAAAATAGTTAGCACTTCTGTTTCATATTTTATACCCTAAAAAAATTAATTTTATTTTTGTTTTTTTTGTTTAAATATCTCAAATTTTTAACCTTTTGACCTTAGCTGAAAAGTTTACCTCAAATTAGCATTCTGACAATTAAAGTTGTTTGAAAAATTTTAAAATTCAACTAAAGGAAGAGGTAAATTGAGGGAGATAATAGAAGATAGCAAGAATGGATCATATCATAGTAAATTTTATTTAATTCTTTTTGTTTATTTTACAATAATTCTTCTTCACAAATTTAAGATTGAAAAAAGTTTGAATTTAAGTTAACGAATAAATGGATTGGAAAGATACAGGGGAAGTATCAGCATAAGAGAGTGATAAATCAATTTCATCGGTTTTGTTAATCCTTGATAACTTTTCCGGCAGAGTTTCCGGTTCTGTTTGAAAAATTCGTTCCTCAAATTCACAATCAAACAAATTTCGTGGTGCATTTTCTTCATTTGATAGAAATTTGGTTAAAGCATCTTTATGTGGTGCTAGTTTTTCGCCTTTTAACTCTGCAACAAATCAATACATATTTAGAGCGATGGAGTAAAATTCAAATTTTTGAAATTGCGCAAATACAAAAACAAAATTGAACAATAATGACAGCTTGCATATTGTAATCTATCAGCCGCGATATGGATGAAAAAGAGTACTGGTTGGTAATTGAGGAAAAATTTACAACTCATTAGAAATGAAAAAATGTTTATTGACTAAGTAGAGGCCAATAATTAGCAATGCTAATTGTATACCTCCATGTTTATCGCCCCATTCTCGAAATTCATGTCTGGCTGCCCGTCCATAACGATGTGTACCAAGTTTTGGTTCAGTGTAAGTACGATTAGCACGAGCTGCAGGTGCAGCCTGATTCTTGCCTACTTTAATCATCGATTTCGGTGACCAAGATGCCGATTGATTAGCACCAGCTTGTGAAGGTGGCTGAAATTCATCGCACAATTGAATGAATGAATTTATTTATTTCCATTTCCAATAATCAATGATAGATTTGAAAATGATGAACGAACCAATTTATGTAACTGAACAGCATAATGTGGTCGATTATTTAATGATTGATATTCGAAGAAATGTTTTGCTAAGAAATTCATTCCCTAAAAATGGACAGTTAACTATTACAAAAATTGATTGGTCATTTTTCATTTGTAATTTATTTTTCTCATCCTTTAATTGTGATACTAGAAAACACTACAGCTGGTAGCTATTTCATTTCAATCTTTCAATTTAATTTTTCACCTTAAAATTTAAACTAAAATTATGTGATAGTAAAACCTGTAATTGCTATCGTTTTATTATTGTGTTATCATTGTATGTATATCGAATTGTATGCATTTGTTTGAAATGAAATTTATTATAATTTAACTTCGATTTCAATAATATTATTTAGAAGAGAGAGTAAGTGCCATATTAAATGCTAATATTAATATTTCAATTTGTTGTATTTCAATTCTCATCTTCATCATTATTCTTTCTAGTAAAGAAAATGAAAGATGCAGTGAAATATTTCGATGAAAATATTATAAACATTGATAGATATATTTCTTCAGAAGTTTAATTTGAAAGCTATTATTATATAGAAAGATGCTTTCCTATAAGCTAAACAGATTTTTTAGTTGAACCAGCATGATAAATTGATATCTCTTTAAAGCATAATAAGTGATAACATTGATGAAATTGACATTATAGACAGATAGATATCAGGTAACTATCATATTTCACTTCTTTTCAAAAATTTAAACTATAATTATAACATTGTATTTTTTTAATGGATTAAGAAGAAACGATTCATTTTAGAAACAAAATTTAATTATTAGTTAAGACAATTTTAAATTACAGCTTCTAATATGATAAATGCTGGATAGTTTTGAATCTTATTGTTGTTTTTAAGATCTGTAATAATTTACAATTTCTCCTCAAAATTTATCACCAATAAAAATTCAATGCATAATATGACAAGTTAAAATTAATTTGTATCATTTGATTTTCAATGGGCGATATTGTAGCAACAAAAAATTTGCTATCAAATCCGAATAATTACTTATTTAACTCATCAAGTTATAAAATGATAATCGTATACGGTATATTGAGATTTATGGTACAAATGCCATTACCGTATGCTGAGATTATGGCACAAATATCATTACCGTATATCGAGATTATGGTATAAATACCGTATTGCTCAAAAATGATGGCTTATATCGATGATATCAGTAATGATAACATGAATTCTATTGAAGAGTATTTCAACAAAAAGTAGGAATGAAAAAATGCACAAATCATTCATCTCATATTATTAAAAATCATAATAAATTATAATATTAAACATGACAGTATTATTAAATTATAATTATTAAATTACAGTCAAACTGCTAATAAGTTAAACTCAAAATAAGTTAAACTATCAAACTGCTAATAAGTTAAATTAAATTAAAATAATTCAGGTGCTAATAATTTCATCATAATTTAAATAATTAATTTGATTATTTTCATATTATCAAAAATTTGCTATTTCTGCGCTTATCAAATTTTGCAAAAAATTTATCAAAAAACATTTGCTTTGCTTATTTTATGAGCTCTATAATATTTATAAATGTTATTTTTAATTTACAAAATGAAACAACCCTTAGGAAGTAAATTTGAATTGATTTGCTATTTTCAGGATGAATTTTACGAATTTCAATGCATCTCCAATAACACTATCATTATCATATCATATCATATCATATCAGTTAGTAATAGTGCATCTTTTGTGATTTCCATCAAATGTTTGTGAAGAAGGAAAGATGCAAAGCATTTTAGTGCAAAACAAAAATATGGCTTAATTTAAAGCTTTGCATAATATTCATAAGTTAATACTTTAAGCAAATTTAATGAAGCTTTAAATGATACTAGTAAATGAAAGTATTATTCATAAGTGGTATTTTGCAGCTATTGCTTCCAACATCTTAGGTTAATCCTTAGAAGAATGTATTCATAAGCATATCCAAACTTCTAATTAGCAATAAATTAATAGGGAAAGTTATACTCACATCTTATCTTACACCTTTTTAGTTTTGTAATAATTCCATTCTTTACTGATTCTAAGGCAAAAATTCACACTATCATATTTCGTCAAGAAAGCAAAGATGACAGTTCCTTTAAAAAAGGAAAGGAAAAATCTATCCTATTTTCTATTCTCAATTCTTTTCCTAAAATTTAACTTACTCAGATCAAAAGGAAATTTCAAACAATCCTAATTTGCTATAGTATTTAAGGACAAAGAAAATATGTTACATTTATTTCGGCAGCTTTCAGCTCAATTTTACACTTATAATTAAATTGCATGAAAGAAAAACAATTTCTGAATTAATATTATTTTATCTTAAAATGCTCCATTAGACTAAAATTCAATATTCAAAACAAAATATTAAAAATTTCTGATAAATATTGAAAATGATCGGTATGATAAAGTAGAATTAGAACCGTATTAAAATTGAATTTTAAAATTTAAATATTTTGTTTTGAATTAATTTATCAAAAAATTAAACCTTCCAAATATTAAAATTTAAATGGAACAATCTCTAATAGCTGCTGAAATTCATCATTTCTACAAAGTAATATCAACAAATATATCATTAGATAGTGAATGTTCTTATGTTTTCGGCGACAACTTATCTGACAGCTTGTCAATAAGCAATATCCTGTCATGATATTTAATATGATATTTATCAATCATATTCATTTCAATGAGAATTATTTTTAAATTTCTTTTTTCTTTACTAAATAAATTTTTACTTTTTCTTTTATGGAATTATTGTTGGATTTGTTTTTCCTAAAATTATTGAAATGTTGACTATCCCGAAGATTGAGAAATAATAATAATAATAATATAATTAAGATTTTATCCATCAATGAGACAAATATAAAAATGAAGTAAACAATAGAAATAATGATGTGATTTTTCAATCTTTACCATTCATAAAAGTTAAGTAAATTGATTGCAATGATTTATCATTTAATTTATTTCAATTAACCTTTGACCGTTAGGAAATGAATTATATCATTTAATGAAATACTTTGAAGATTTAGGCACTTCTCATAATTGCTTGTTTTTTTAAAGATCTCTCTAAGAAGGAAATTTTCTTCTCTTCTTAGGGAATAATTTGATTGTTTTTAAACCAATTAGTATATTTAAATTTTATAAGAATTGTTTTTAAGCCAATTAATATATTTTAATTATTTAAGAGAAGTTTTCAAAAAAAGAAAAATTAAAAACAAAAAGAAAATATTACAAAAAATTGTAAAGTAAGACTACAAATATAATAATCACCTGATATGTGAAAAAAGTTGTATCCTGGATAGTGCTATCAAGTGTAAGGCCATTGAGATATGAACTAAGTTGATCACTTATGTGAACTAAACTTAGATCGGTTTGAGTTAAAATTCCAACTTTGCTATTTCGTTGTTGCTCCACCGATGGTAATGCACTAAAAATATAATTGAAAAGAATTATACAAATAAATGTTTGAATTTAATTTAAAGAAAAATTGTCTGCAAATTCATAATATTATCTTTTCAACTGTATTATCTGGATTTAAATAAAATTATTATTTCATTAAATTAATCTGTTTTTTATTTTGCAATTTTAATTATGTATTTTTTGAAATTTTAATTATGCATTTTTTTTCTGTGATCGTTTGACAATAAATTTGCATATTTTAGATTTGCGTGAAATTGTTGAAAATTTATCAAAAATTTCAAATCAAAATTTCGACATTTCCTTATCGATGAAACCGATACGATTTTGTTTATCCTATCACTAAACCAAACATCTAAAGATTTTTGGTGGAAAAAATTTGAACAAAATTTTGTTAATTTTTTACAGTAAATATTTCTATGATTAAAATAATATGAAACAATACAAACTGTTAATAATCTATTAATTAATATTAACAATGAACAGAATCATCTGTTCTTTTAAAAATATGATCTTATTAAGATTTCTTCAACAAATTTATGGTCTACTAAAGATATCGACCAAAGTTGTCAATTAGTTAAAAATTATTAATTAAGAATTTACAAACAAAACTAATCTTACAAATTTGAGATAATATCAAATAACATAAAACTATTCCTTAAGCACTAAACATTTGAATGACATTACCGCTATTAGGTTCATGTTAAAATTAGACAGCTGACAACAGTGTACAAGATAAACTAATCCTTAAGCACTAAACATTTTAATGACATTACCGCCATTAAATTCACTTCAGAGTTAGGCAATCGACTACAATGTACAGATAAAACTAATCCTTAAGAGTTAAACATTTGAGTGACATTACCACCATTAAATTTACTTTAGAGCTAGGCAACCGACAACGATATGCAATATGATTGACATTACCGCCATTAAGTTCACCTTAAGATTAGACAACTGACGATAGTTTGCAATATGGCTTAACTTATTTTAAGCTTTAAAAAACAATTCCTAAAATCTACTTAATACCTGAAATTATTATTATAACTTTACTGATAGTAGAAATCTATAAAAATGTTTATCAATTAGTTAAGAATTACTAATATAATGAGCTCATATTATAATACCTTCATAAAAAATTTCACACTCATCAAATGCTTGAGTTACGCTGGCAATTAAAGCATCATTTTATGATGCTTTAATTAAATTGAAAAAAAAATGATCCGATCGGTGCTTTTCTACCTTCTCTTCGTTAAACTAATTGCTCATTTTTTAACACAAATGATAGCTTTAAAAGTGATTCAGTTTGCATTAATAAAGTTGTTGAAGCAAATAAATAGTAAGCTTTTGAAGTTAAACGAAAACGAGAGAAGAAGAAAATTTTCTACATGAAAATTTCTTTCAATGAATTTAATTTAGTTCTGAACGACTTTTATCGTATACTTCTGACTGATTGCATGAACAAAAAATTTAAATTGAAATAATATTAGTAATCGGTTTTCCTCAATTAATTCTAGTTTACAGTATGAAAATTTCAGGAAAAGGATGAATAAATTTGAATGAATTAATCATATCATATCACATATAGTTAATTAACTATAGTTAATGCTAAAATTCCATATATATATGTATGCAAGAACATTTATAGTTAGTATTAAAATTAATTATCTAACTGCATTGATAAGCAAATTAGTATCTATTAATATCAAATTAGTATCTAACTAACATTGTTACATTAAAAAAGAAAATATAAAATTGATTCATTTAAAAACTTCTATTCATCCTTTTCCTGAAATTTCAATTCGCAAAATATGATAATTCAGGAAAATAACAAATCAAATTATTTAGTCTGCTTATAATTTTTAGTTCACAATTTACTTAACAATTTTTGCAATGAATTTTGAAGAGATGCTTCTATAATAGAACTAATAACAAACAATGTTGAAAGTAAAAAATTACCTCACACCTTTAACCTCCTTCTTACATTATTTTTAACTTTCCTACGTATCTTCAACCCCTTTTTACGTATGAACTTTTTTACGTTATTTTTAATCCTCTTCCTACGTATTTTAACCCTCCTTTTACACATGAATTTATTTACATTATTTCTAATCTCTTCTTACGCATCTTTGAATTCTTCTTACGTATCTTTAATCTCATTTTTACGTATCTTTAACCCCCTTTTCACGTATGAACTTTCTTACGTTATTTTTAATCCCCTTCTTACGTATACCTTTAACTCCCTTCTTACGTATGAACTTTCTTACGTTATTTTTAACCCTCTTTTTACGTAACTTTAACTCTCCTTTTTTACGTATAAACTTTCTTACGTTTATTGAATAATAGATGAAATGATAAAAGTTTTTAGTGGAGAAGAAAATGGAAAAGTGGTAGTTTAGGAGAATGATTGAGAGAAAATGAAACAGGCTGGCAGTAAACTAAAGAAAAGGCAAATTGAATTGGACAGCAACTGCAATGATCTAATCTTCAATTTACTCTTAAAAAGTTTGAAAAAAAAGAGGAAAGAAAAATTTAAGGATTGGAAGAAAAAAAGAAATCTCAAAAAATTTTTCCCATAATTTGATAAAAATAAAATTATATAAGAAAAGTTAGAAAATATTTATGAAAGGATAAAATATGATTAATCACATTTTTTGCTTCGCTCTCTCTCTCTCTCTCTCTCTTTTAAAGCTAAATTTAATTACTACTAATAGTCTGTTGGAATGAAATAATAGCGCAGTAAGAAAGAAGAATTGCTAAATTTTCGCTGTGGTTAGCCTTTTATGTTTAATTCATCTGATTATTGATAAAGAAAAAAATTTAGTTCATATCTGATTATTGATAAAGAATGAAATTTGGTTCATATCTGGCCATTGATAAAGAAAGAAATTTGGTTCATATATGGTCATTGATAAAGAAAGAAATTTGGTTCATATCTGGCCATTGATAAAGAAAGAAATTTGGTTCATATATGGTCATTGATAAAGAAAGAAATTTGGTTTATATCTGATTATTGATAAAGAAATTTGGTTCATATCTAATCATTGATAAAGAAAGAAATGCTATGAAAATCCTAATAGGAATTAAATTAATTTCATATTAAATACAAGCAAATTATTTTTCCAAATTAGCACCATTAGAAAAAGGAAAAAATTAATTAGTAAAATTAGAATATTTTATTATAAGAAATTTCAAACTTTACCTTTTAAAAATTTCTAAGAAAGTTCAAATTTTTGTTCAAAAATTTTTGAATTAGAAAAGAGAGATGCAATCATTATCAGTGATAGAATATTTTATATTTTTGAAGAAAAAACTATGATTATATATTTCAATCTTAAAAAATGTGATAAAAATGTAATTTAATTACTGTAAAATTAATTTAACTTAAATAAGGAAATCGTTATTTTTTTATTTTCTAGTATTTTCTAGCAGATAGCGTAATTTTTTATTTTGGTGCAATATTATTACAGCTTATTTCTCAACGACAATTCTTGAAAATCTCACCGAATCATTAACCTGAAATATGAATTCTTAAATTCAAAAAATATATACATACTGAAATTAGAGAAGAATAAAAAGATATGATAATATCATTTGCTATTTCATATTAATCGCATAGTTACATGGCGAAAAGGCAATGAAATGAATTAGTAATTTAATTTTAATGAAAAATGCTAATTTAAATTTCCTAAAATTACATTATAGCAGTCTTTTAATTCATCCAAAAATTCCATCAACAAAATCCATTTATTTAGCAAACATAACAAAAATATTGCTAATTTTGTTTGTGAGAATTTTCATTAACATTTTATTTACAATTTTATGAGAATCTATCGGAAATATCCTTTCATCTTTATAACCTATATATGATTGATATTGGTTTAATTTACTATTATGAATATATTACTCTTCTGATTCTACTGAAATAAAATGGAAATACCGAAAGTTTACTTAATTACTCTTCGGATTCTATTGAAATAAAATGAAAATTCGGAAAGGTTTACCCTTATTAAAAAAAATTCATATTATATGAAGTAAATTAGTAATTTATTTAATTTTCTGCAAAATACTAATTTAAATTTTTAAAATTGAATTATATAAGTTTTTTAGTCTATTCAGAAATACTATTAACAAAATCGATTTACTTAGAGTTATAGCTTAAATGATCGGTTTGTAAACCTAATCTGACCTATATTCTGAAAATGCATGGACAAGATCATAAATAATGCTAATCAGTGAATTAATAATATATTTAATTTTTTGCAAAATGCCAATTTAAATTTCTTAAAATTAAATTTTATAACTTTTTAGTTTATTCGAAAAATACTATTAACAAAATCGATTTACTTTGAGCTTGAATGATCATTTTGCAAACCTAATCTGACCTGCACACCTAACCTTAGAATAGTTATTCTGACCTATATTAATTTGACCTATATCCTGAAAAAGATTATAAACGATGCTAATCACTAAATAGTAGTATTAAATTTTCATCTTCAATGAAACATTCCGTAAAATGTACGCCTTCTACGATATTCCTAAAAGCTTTTAGCAAAACAAAAAAATGGAATTTTGTGAACACATTTATATTATATGTAATTAGCAAAAGTAATAATAGTAATGTTTGCAATGAATTTTATTGAAATTAATTTTAAAAAATAAAAAAGAACCCTCATTAACATTTGCTTACCTTTCCTTCTTTAGACTAATTGCTCATTTAGACTAATTTGCTGAAGTGAATTTCCGAAGCGAATTATTTTCCATTTTTACAATTTAGAATTTTCTGATTTCTCATTTAAGCAGACATTTTCTTGATATCATAATCTTAGTGATACAATTGCATATCATCAGTGAAGTAAGCAATTTTAATCAAAGAACTAATTTTAGTCATTACTAATTAAGCATTAGAAAAAAAAAGGAATATTTTGCATTCTTCCGATTCGTTGAACAAATTTAGTTATAAAATTATGATGTGCTGTTTTACTGATGAAACATTTTTTTTTAATATGAAAATATATGTTGTTGAAAATGCCTCAAATATTTCTCACTCCAAAATTACATCATTTTCAATTCACCTAAAATAGCAACTATCATATTCATTGCGTTTTTTCATAATCTTTCTATCTACTAACCGGATTCTGTTCACCGGAAAGAGTTAGAAAATAACAACGAAAAGTGCTAAATATTCATTAAGAATAAGAGCCTATTTTTTTTTTAGAATAATTAAGAATGTAAACAATGAAGTCATTTGGGAATTTGTCGTACTACCGCAAAACAAAATATCTTTTAGAATAAATTTAATGAAATTTACATGGAATAAACAACTTCAAATTTAACTTCAAATCTTTAGTCTAAACTATCTATAATAATTTTGCAATAATATAAATAAATTAAGAAAAAGAAATTCTTAAAAGAAATAAAATCATACTGTTCGATATTTGAATGAGTGTTAAGCGATGATAAAGAAGATGACCGATGGCTATCGTTCTTCCCATCGCTCGAGGTACCTAAAAAATAATGATAAAATTTGTAGATCGATACAAAGTAAGCATTCTAATCTTCTGATGCTCTTAGCTGTACGAATAATTCATATGTGGATGAATGTGTATGTATCACAATTTTCCTATCTTTACAAAAGATACGACGAAGTAAATAGTCGTGCATTTTAACCGTTGTTGTCATCTATAATATGATAATATCAGCAAACATATCATATATTAAAAATTAATTTAAATTAAAGTAAAAGATTATGTGTATTATACATCTACTATTATGTAATGGATTTCTGATAATCTAATAGAAGTCACTTTGTCTTATTACTTATCAATGTTTAATCAGTGATTAAAAATTTTTCTGTATTTTTTTTCTGTGCTAACGCTAACCACTACTGAATTAATTGCAAACTTTTAGCATAAGAAAATTATAAGTTATAAATGATAAATGATAAATGATAGAAAATAAGGGAATGAATAAATTGGTTAAATAAATGAATTTGTAAGTGATAAATGATAATAAATGATAATTGGTAGCAAATTGCAAATTAACTAGTTTAGAACTAAAATACGAATGGAAGATAAAAACAAGCTACGATCGTTCGCTTATGTCTGAACCAATGGCCATATTAATTTAAAATTTGGCATTAATAATGCTTACACTAAAGCAAAATTAAAATTCAAAATAATAATGAAAATGAATACAAACAATAGGGAATGATAATTAGATAAAACTATGAAGAATATTGATAATTAAATAAAACTATGAAGAATATTGATAATTAGTTAAAACTATAAAAATACTTTATTGGAAATTTTTCGCACAAAGGATATTCGCTATGGAAATACCTCGCAACAATTGCATTAATTGTTGCAAGATATTAAATTAATTTCTCTCTTGAAAAATAGATAGATATAAATATCAAACTTTTTGTACTTTAATTACTTATCCTCTGAATGTAGGATTCAAATTTGGAAAATGAAATTTCTAACTTCCACATTTAACTTCTTTCTTTAAATTTATATTTTCATTGCTATTCAGCCTAAATTTGTATTCTCTTCTTATGCTCCAAATTATTCGNTCAAAGTCGTATAATTTGTATTCTCTTGTTATGCTCCAAATTATTCGCTAAAGTCGTTATGCTTCAAAGTCGTATAATCGTCGTATAATCCGGAAGCCAATACATTATTACATCTTTTGCGAAAAATTTATGCTAATTATAGCTCTGCCATTTGCTTCAAAACCATTTTTGCAGTAAAGATTACAATGAATTTTTGATTGCATCATCAGAATAAACCTCTAATTTTCTTCGAATTATTTGAAATGATTGGTGAAGCAAATGAAATTTTCGCATGCATTTAAATAAATGTTGAAAAGTGTAGCCTAAAATTCTCCTAAATACTGAAATCAACAATATGGGACATTATCTCATCATCTTCTTTATCATTCGAATAAAAGGATGAAAATGAATTCAAATTTTGGGCAGTAAATAAATATTTCTTTTTTCCATTTCATTTTGTAATTAATTAATTAATTACTCACTTTATGTGTTTGTAGAATTCCATATCGCTTTGTAATTAATTAATTAATTAATTAATTTATGTGTTTATAAAAGTGTTCAGAAGTTTTGAAATTTTCTATTGCAATTTTGAAAACTTTCTAATGGATTACATTAACTTTCCTGTTAATCGTTTTAATTGTTTTGTTTTTTTGAAAATAAATAATTCCATTTTAGGAGTTATTGTTGACAAACAAAGAAGTGATTAATTATTAACTTACTATATTTCGATGGCATATAATGATCGAGCATTAATGATGATAAATTATCATCATCATCATCATCATCATCCGAATAGAAAGAAGGAAGTGAATCCAATTCTGGATAATAACTAAGTATTTCTTTTCCTATTTCACTTTGCAAAAAAGTTTCCTCCGATTGGCTTTTCTTATCCTCTTTTTCATCATCATTGTTTTTGCTGAAATATAAATTAGAAAGATACAAAAGCTAACAACAGTATTAATTATACTTCGTTAATTGTCAGTTATGCTATAAGCGAAAAATTATCCTAAGAATGATAATTAATGACTTTGAGATGTCCCTAAAGTTGCTACCAAAAATTAACCTACCGATTTCAGAAATAAATTCTAGCAAAGGAATCATTTATATCTGGAAAGTAATTATTATGAATATAAATTATATATTTAAGTGTATATCGAATATATGCATTATATATTACATATTATTTATACTATGATATAAATTACATTTTGGAAATTATTCCGATATTAATATATCTAATGAACAGAAACATAAAATACCCTTTTCACACACTTTTTAATTCTTCTCTGATTTTCATAGAAAAAATTAGAAAAAAATTCCGTGATTTCCTTACGTTTCCGTAGAAATACATGACATTGATGAATTTCTTCCATATTTCGATGAAATATATCCAGATTGTCCACTCACATATCCATTATATAACTTTAGATGTTGCAATTTTTTTGCGATTCGCAAATTCTGTTGTCGTTGTTGTTGTTGTTGCTGTTGTTGTTGCTGTTGTTGTTGTTGTTGTGAAAAAGGCAATTCATCATCATTGATACTATTTCCTTTATCTTTATCTTAAACTTATCAATATCATTTCATCTCAAATATATTAGTTATATCATTATTTTGTAAAAATTTAAATAAATAAATACTATTTTCAAGTAAACTGCAATCTCGATTCAATTTCGCTGCATATCTGAATTTATCACTTTCAATAATACATTCTGTTGCTTCACAGCTAGCGATGCTTAACAGCGATTTTGTCGATGTGCTATTATTTACATTCTGCTTGGATTGATTCTGCAGTTTAATATCATATGATAAATTTCGTAACATTGAAAAATAAATTAAATTTCATAGATATTTTTCCAGATTTTTATTGAATGATATATATAAATAAAATTGTACAAGATTAAGACCCATAGAATTATGCATAAGCAATAAAAATTATTTTGAAATTTTCGAGTGAAATTTAGTTAACAAAATAATTCGTTAAAGTAAAAGATCAGAAAGATTCGGCATGAGTGTATCACAAGTATGTAACCAGCTAAAAATATTCCGTAACGAAATTCCTGTCAATTTATATCACATTAAGTAAAAAAGTAAACTGTTGGCGAGAGTTAAATTAAGAGTAATTAATTATAGACCTTATCAGGTTTCCTGCTGACTGCTATGAAAGTTTCACTATCATCAATATCTTCCCCACTATCCGTATCATCTATGAATTCCTGACGATTTGATATCGTTCGACGGCAAATTTCATGACAAATTAACGAATTTAATCCAAATTGAGGGCATGATACTGTAATAATAAGAAATATAATAGCTTATTTTATGTAAACAAATAGTTAAAGAAGAAAATTGCAAAAAATTTTAAACAAATTATTTGGAAAATCTCAAATATCTCATATTAAATATCTTTGAGCTTTTAACAGCAGAAATTAAACTTCTCAAGAAATATATTAAGATAATTTAACTTTGGCGATTACTTTACTGCTAAATGCTTTATCCTACTATGTAATATGTTACATAATGAAGTGTAATATAGATCATAATATTCGTAAACTTTTCATTTGATAAAATGATTCATGTTGCAAGAAACGGAATATAGAATAAAATTTTGAAAGGTTCTTGAACCTAAGAAAATATCTGAGACTATGAAAAACAAAGAGATTTAAAAACAATAACGAAATTGAAAAGCTATTTGAAGTCTCAAAAAATTTTCCTTAAGTTCTGACAATTTTTAAACTACATGAAAAAATATTTACCATAAATATTTTTTAAATAAAACTCACTGCTTTTTATTAAATTTGGACACTTCTGTTGACCTATAACCTTTATTTTTGTTCCGGAATGAATATCCGATGATTGTTCAATTATAGCCACAATTTCTTGCTGCTTACTACAACAATCACCTAAATATAGAAAGATTCTTGTTTATCCTGGAAACAAATTTATATTTCATATTACATAGTTGGCTTAATAGAATGTGATGTAGTGTTAACAATATGCTATGTTTTATAATGTTTCCATAACATGCTCAAAATGTTTCCGAAGTTACCATTTCTATTCTTATTCTGTTCATTACTTCTGATCGTTATCAATTATTGATAAGAGTAATACATGACAAGATGAATCAATGCACTTCAATATATGACAAGATTTGGTATACTGTTTTTGGTATACTGTTATATGCAATCTTCTGTCAATAAATTCACTGAAAGCAGTCTGCTAAAAAATCTAACAATCTCAAGAAGCTGATTTAAATAGTAGCGATAGATAACTTTATGTATTAAGTTCTAAAACGAATCACTCTTATCATCCTGATATTCCTCATCGGTAACAATTCGCCCTTGACTTTCATGACCGCTATCATTCGTTGATGGTGATTTACCATGTCGAGCTTCTATAACTCAACATATCGATATATATATTATTATTACTACTGTTATATTATTATTTTATTATTATTTTATTACTATTATTTTATTAATAATAATAATTTTAGCGAAAGTGCACCAAGTAATACAAAGCAAACAATTCTAAATATTTGAAATTTAAGAATTTTGTTCAATTTCAGCCAATTAGTTTCAGGTAAAACATCAAAACATTATAGGTATATTTCTTCTCAAATATTTTTTTAAACAAACCTTTTGCACTTAAATCAATGGAAGAATAAATTGGCTGATCGGTTTCATTACTTTGACAATATTTGGTGCATTCATTACTGGAAATTTCATCATTGCCATTTTGATTTCGTTTCGATGAACGCTTTCCAAAAAATGCAAATGTCCTTCAAAAGCATAAATAGGAAATATTATCGATTGCAGTGTTTAAAAAATTCAAGAAAAATAACTTTATACAACTGATGGAACTTTGAAGAATATTTGCTATCAAATTCATACTTATTTTTCAATTTAGCAATAGAAGAACTTCTTCTTGAATCTTTTGGTTCCGAAGATGAAAATGGCGATGATTGGTCTGAATGTTGACCTCTTGCTGTTTCACTACCTAAAATCGTGCATACATTTGAAAATATCTTAATCCTAAATTAGTGCATTTTCAGTTATAAATTTCACGACCTAAAATTGTATGCAATTTGTGAGAAATATTTTATCGTCATTTCTTAAATGTCTTTATTATTGTTATTACTATTACTAGTTAACTTCCGATCGTACTTCATTGATCTTCATTAAATGCTAATATTTGATAATAATGATAAAACTATTTATCTATCATGTTGATCAAAAAGCAAATGAAATAAACCTCGATCAGATTGTTGATTACGACATTCGATTCCACTATCTGCTAGCAATCTATTTTGATATCTTAACGTTTGCAACAATGACATTCGTCGTCGACGATACAAATATGGATTAGAAGAAACAACCAATGATGGATCCAAATCACTGCATACATCTGCTACAAGATGACTATTTCCCTCTTTTGAAATTAAATTTTAAATTTATCAAATTCCTTATCGAACTCATAATCTCTGCTTGCTAAGAGAGATTTATGTTAAATTACTTACTTTCGAATCTAATCATCAAATCAGAAATTATTGATTTGCACATTTTTTACTTATGACTTTACTAATTCATTCAAACTTATAATTATGATGAAAATTTATGCAAATGGAAAAGTTATTAAGATTAGTACTTGAGCCATCGTATCCAGTTGAGCTTAACCTCTGCCTGATAGGTACATGTTGAATCATTGGCAAGCAGAGTGGTTCTGAAATTGAACATATCATATTTTAAAGGAACGTTTTGGAAAAATAATTCAAATTTTTGACTTCATTTTTGTATATTTAATTGTTAATAGCTATATTTGAAAAGAAATCATTTGACTGATTTTGAAAAATAAATTATTAAATAGGAAAATTTTTACAACTATCAACTATACAACTGATGAAGAAAAATCCTCCTGTGAAAATTCATCTGAAAACAGATAAATTTACAAGTACCACACGCAAACAATCGACGCAAACAATCGCTATTAACAGTTGAAGACCTAAATTGAGTCTTACCGAAGAGTGATTTGCGTGATGATTGAGAAACATAAGTTTTTTGACCCTCAGAAAAAGGCATTAAACTATGCCGTCGTGGATGCGTGGTTTTGTTGTTTCTATCAACCATCAGCCGATACAGTATGTAGCCATTTAACATATTCGTCATCTTTTCCTCCTACCGTATCATTCATCTTACAGTATTTTTCGCAGTTAAAATAGGAAAATTTTCGCTTTTATCGACTAGAATTGTCAAGAAAATTCGTCAACATGTTAGGGAAAAATTATTTATTAAAAAAGTTATTTTACCTATATATACCAATCGAAAGCTATTTCATCTAATTCTACAAAGTTGAAAACTTCATCTTTTCATCATATCATCACTAATAAATAAAATGCTAGCTTTACAGTATTTTACAACTTTTCCAACTTTACCGATTTTGGCTAATCTTTTTATATTATAAAATAAATATTTAAAAAATCAGAAATTTAAAATGCAAAATTAAAAATGATATCAATTCCCAAAAATTCGCTTATTTTTGAAAATGAAATAGAGAGAAATTTAAAATATCGTACAAATATTTTTAAATGTAAAATTATCATTTGATCAATTTTTTTCAATTTTTGCTATCTCTTAAAAAAAGATCAGATCATCAACAATTATCCTACCTATTTAAATTCCTCCGAAATAATCAAACTTTTTGAAGAGAGAGAAAAATGAATTTAAGAAGAAATGAGCAAATAGAGGATAAAATTGATTTAGGAAAGAAAGCAGCTGATACATTTCATCTCTCATAGATTATCATCATATTACTGCTACTTTAAAATGATGCATGGAATAGTGAAGTTGAAAAAATTTTTCAATATGATATAATAAAACATAACATAGAACAGGTGAATTTTTCCCTCATTACTAATTACAGCATTTTCATAAGTTTTTATTATATTTTTTTTGTAAACAACAAATTATATTCATCAAATACAGGTGTACTTCTATTTACTTTTTCAAATACCTTTCTTATTTGGAGAAGTATTTGTAAATTATTTCCCATTTTATTTCCTATTTTTGCAATACCTTTTCTTTTATAATAATTTTAAATTTTATTTAATGAATTTTCTAATTATAAAAACTTTATTCCTTTTTCCTTTTCTATTCATATTTTTCATTTTTTGAATAATTTGAATTTATATGAAAATTAATTAATTTGAATTTTATATCTTGAAATATCAATTAAATAATAAAACGTTCACATTAAATTATATAAATAACATTAAATATCATAGATCAACTTTTCAGCGTATTAAAAATTTTTTGAAAAATGAATTTACTGAATTCAATGACGATCTTAACGAATGATATTAGAGAATCTGAAATATTGTCTGCAAAAGGAAAAAAAATTGTCTAATTTGAATTCTTTAACGAAATGATCGAATTTTTAAATTAAAAGGGAGATTTTTTTTTAAGGTACACTTCATATATGTTCTCCTTTTCTAACCTTTGAACTTGTTGTGATTGTTTCAAAATAAAAATTTGAAAAATATCATAAAAGCAAAATGTAATTTTGCAAAGAGCAAAAATAAGAATAATTGATAATTTCGCCTAAAAAGATAATTGATAATTTAATAAAAAGTAGAAACAAGAAAAACTAAACTAAAAGGAAATTTAAATGAACGAAATCTGAACAAGATGTAGAATATGCAGAAATTTCATCATCGATGGATGTTGCACAATGAAATGGAGCATCTTAAACCTTTCTTCTTTACTAAAAACGAATGAAACTCTTAAAGAGGAAAACGATAAACTTTTATCTTATCTTATTTAAATGATCATCTTATATTATCAACATAATATATATAAGCTAATTTCAATATTCTGCTGATCGCTTAAATTAATTGAATTAAAATTTGTTTTTAGCAATGATAAAGTATGGAATTATTTATTATTAAATTTAAAGCAACTAATAAAATGAATTTGAATAGTACAGGTTATTTAATTGAAAAGGTAAACAATGAATTTTATATTATAACAAATACTTTCAACTAAATATTAATTTGATATGTGTAAATTTATGAAAATGTATGAATAAATTTACTATCACTAATATTTTTGATAGAATGTCAAAAATATTCATGACAAATTAATTACCTAAAAAGTTTTCTTCGATTTTTAACAAAGGAAAATTGGTTTACTATAAAATGAACAGGTGAAAAATTCTTGCAATACAATTGCTATTAGTTACGATAATTCACTACAAATTAATTGCTACAATTTTTGTTTCATTTAATGAAAAAATTGAAATTAGCTCGATAATAATAGATTGATAGATATTTCTCAGAATGAATTTATTAAAGTTTATGAAAACTTTAAGAAATTATTACGGTATTTTCTCTCTTCCTATTTAAATTAATTCTATTCCTATGAAATTATAATATAAAATAATAAAATTGAAATAAGATATATGGGACTCGAAAGAAGAAGGAAATATTGAAATTCTCTTTCTATTTAAATTAATTCTCATTCTTATTAAAACATAATTTAAAATAATAAAATTGAAATAAGATGTATGAGGAACTAAAATGCTCGAAGAAGAAGAAGCAAATATTGAAATTAAAATAATTTACAATATTTTTTCGGGGTAATTCATAGGAGCGATTGAAATTCAATGAGATTTGCAAAATTGAAATGAATAATGGACCAATTATTTGTTTGTGTAAATTAAAGGAGCAAAGATTAGTAGGAAAAGTAGAGGTGTATTAATTCTAAAATTGAAATATATTATAGTATTTTGAAATTGAAATGTAATAATAAATTGCTTCCTCAAATAATAACAATTTTACAAAATAAAATTATTCCAAATAGGAAAGCCTTAAAAAAGGCCTTTAATTTTCATAACATAATGATTCATTTTTTTATTACAGCCTAAATAATTTTATTTCATAGTTTTATTTCTATTAAAATATAATTTAAAATAATTTCATTTATTTCCACATCATATTTATTCCCTCTAAATTTTGCACCGAAAATTATTCAATTCAGGAAACGGTAACCACTACTTTTTCGAATAATAATAATGCAGGAAATTGATTAGAGTTTTTCCTGTTTTTTTCCGCTTGATGAAAATGCTTTCATCTAAACAATTATTATTATTAACATTATAGCATAATTCATTCTCAATAATATTTGACGATATATAAGTCAGGCCTGAGAATAGGACCACTGTCATTATCAAACATTCTTCTCAGCTATTAAGCAAACTTTCGTGCTAACTATTAAATTGATGTCGCAAATTTCATAACATTATTTGATAGAATTTTTTCTTTTTAAACCGAACTCTATAAAAGTGATTTAATTTGGTAGCAAAAAATTTATGATAAAAGCTAATTTTTTAATTGCTAATAATAATTCATTTAGGAAAAAAATTTTTTTTCATAAATTTTTGCATATCAATTAATCATTTTAATTTTCTTCTTCGAACTCTTATATCACGTTATCACTGAAGAATAATGTTAATAGATTTCACTTTATGATAATAATAATAATAATTTATTCTTTTATAATTAATTTTATCATTTTTATTTATCACAACTAAATTAAACAATTTTTCATTATTAAAAGATTCTAATGATCGAATTTACTTTGAAAATGAATTGATGTTCGAATTAATTACAGTAATTAACAATTTTCAATTTCTCTTATTGATAAATAAATAAGTAAACAAATAGAAAAAGAAGCGATTCTAGAAGACTTGAAAAGGATGAAGGAGATATTAGCGAAAATTCAACGGTTGAAATTAATTTATATGGCAGAAATTAAATCCCAAAAACTTTCATCCTTTTTATTTAATGCAATAATTGTTTTTGTTTTTTCGCTGCTAACCTCCGATACTTGAAAATTTTTGCAAATAATAATTTTTAAAAATTATTTAAAAAATAAATTATCACTCTGAAATTAAACAAACATTCGAAAAACTTTCATCCATTGGCAATATATGAAAATGCAAACCTTAAAGTTATTTAGCAGAAATTAAATCTTTTATTAAAAATATTAAATTATGAAAAAGAAATTTCCATTTTCAATTAAAATTCATTAATATTAATTAACATAAATTAAAATTCATTAACAATTAAAATTCATTCATTAACATTAATATTAATCAATCTTTATCACTCGAATACTCGAAAAGAAAATATTAGAGTTGTATATTGGAATTAAAAAACTTGATTAAATTACTATTTATCATTTTAATCGAATAACACTAAATGGAGTAATAATTAACGATAATTAATGAAAAGAATAACAGAAAGTGAATATTTCACAAAATTTTAAAAATAATCAATAAAAATGTTTGATCAAAAAAATTTATTTTAAATCACAAAATTAATTAGCTAATAGAAAAATGATAAAGTTCATTCCTAAAATTTTATTAAAAAATTAAAATTAGCTAAGAAGATAAAGTTTAATGATAAACTATATGTATATTAGATATATACACATAATATTACTAAACAGTGGCATCTTTGGATCATTTAGTAAGGAGAATATGTAAATGAGTGATTTAAAATACCTTTTATTACACACCAAATTAAACATATAGATGAAGCTGCCTACAACAACTTCTTCATTAAAATGTAATTGAATTGATAAAGCAATTGATAAAGGAAATAAAATTGATAAAACTTATGATTTAAATATTACAAAATTATTATGAAATAGGGTGATTTAATTGAAGGATGAACAATAATAATGCAATTTTAAATATTTAAATCATAATTTTTATCAATTTTATTTCAACCATTAATCAATTGCTTTATCAATCAATTAAAAGATAAATAATATGAATTTAATTTTAAATATTTAGATTATAAGCTTTATCAAATCTTCTCAATGCTTTATGATAAGCTTTGTCAGCTTTATTTCATAAAGTTTTTTAGAATCAAGAAGGATAAAAAAAATTGAAATCTGAATTATTAATTTCTTGTAGCGCTGATTAGTGAAATCTTAACCGTCTTATTCAAAGTATCACTTAACAATAAGCCATAACAGGTAAGCTTACAATTAATAATCGGTACTGATGGTATCACCTATAAAGAGTATATGGAGGAAAAATTATAGAAGCATTTTGGGATTATTTTTGAAATTTGAAAGATTGCTCCAACAAAATTTACCAC